TTCTGAGATCTACTGAGAAATCCATTATAATCGCGGGACGCCCATCATAAAATTCTCCTTCCGCTATTTTTAGCGGGAAAGAGTTGATGGACCAGATGCCTAGAAGAATAGAAATGGGCACTTCAGAACTCTCGTTTGTGGAGAAAGAAAGGATTGTTTGAAATCGTACTGTACGATGGTGAGACTCCGGCGAACTTAACGAGTCCAGTAACTGAGCAAAAATGTTACATGTGAATGCAAGGAGTGGTGCTAACAGCTTGAGCGTTTTTTTGCATCAGAACTCACTATGATGTATTCCGTTACATTGTGTTTCAAATGTAAAATCACCCTGAGCAAATTAAGTGCCGAAGAAGATACAATTGTGGGGCACCTGATAAAAAGCTTGGGTAAAAAGATCTAAAACAGCTGTGTTTGTGAAAGCTAACAGCTTCCCGTAGTGAAACCTGATGAATTAACACGAATGCAAAGTTATGCATTTCAAACGTACCCAGTTGGCACCTCAGCGGGAGTTAATGAAGCACTCCACACGCATTCAAGATCTCCAATCAGATCAAACAATTGTTTGGTGGATGTAATGGTCCATTGGCCCTTTTCACATCGCCCTGATGATTGAGAAGCGAAGCTAGCGCATTCTAAAATGTGTTACAATTGTACCTGAAACAGGCAATGGGAGGGGGGATTGTGCAACGGCTGTTGAATCTCTAGTGAAGAGCTGACTACCCCCTTCGACAAGCTGAACGCCTAAAGTAATAAGCAACAATAATATCATGTTGGTTGCTAATGTTGCGTTATCTGTTCAATTCTGAAACTGGTGCACTTGCTGCATTTTCATGATCAGCTACATGAATCAGCCTCTATGCGGGCACTTGCTCACGTTGCTTTCTTTTCTATCGCTTACAAGCGCCGATGTACCCCAACAGTCGCTTCCCTCCTTAGCACAGATTGTTGCACCAATTGGATCAAGTATGTGGCCAATGCCGTTGATGTATTCAACTTTTTCATTTTCTCAGAAAGTGGTTCTTGTAATGCTGGTGCAGTTCATACAATAACAAGCTACGAAGATCTCCTCGATCAATCTGATCGCTTGATGTGCATTTTTGCATCTGGAATCACGCCCGACAGAGTTCCTACAGGATTTGTTTATGGTTCGTTTCTAGCTGTTACCCATCCACACTCAGCTCTTTCGTTCAGGCCGAATGGTTTCATTCTCCAACACAGGTGACGCCATAGAGAAACAGAAATAGCAGCCATGCATCAAAGCTTCATTGATATGCATTCTTTTGTTAGCGGTGTTCAACAATTTGATTAATAGCAATTATCAAGGGGATTTCGTTTATGAGACGTTGTGCCAGAACAAACAACTATTCATTGGTGAAGTGAAGTTCAACGGAATTACAGTTGGTGTTGGTGAAATGAAAATTGGTTCTTATCAAGATGCTTCATTGCTGCCGAATCAAGAGTTTTTTGACTCACGCAGCGATGCTGACGGATTGATTTATCAATTTGATGAGGATTTATATCAAAAGTAATAACCGAGTTGTTTTTGTTCTTCACATCTTAATTTTTCGCAGATGTAAGCCAGATCAAACAGATCACGTGAACAAGCCTTTGCTGTTCTTTGGTACAAGTGGCTCTGGAATTATAACGCAGACGTACCCAACGAAAATCTTCACTGATGTCGTAAGTTGTTCCGGTGTTTGAAATTCTTGAATCGGATCTTCATCAGCTGAGAGTCGTTGGGCGATCTCAAGATGGAGGATTACTATTTCTCGGAAGGACGTTTGTCCGCAATCCAGTTGCAGTAAAATCAACCCCCACAACAGCTTATTTTTTCATGTTAAAATCCTTTGACCCAAATATCAACGCAAACTTCCAGAAAGGTCAACCATTGCCTCCACTTGTAAGTCAAGATGTTGAAGCTTTCATCCATTTTCCTACAATTTACACAACTCCATCATCCATTTTTCTACTTCAGACCCGTTCGTTCAGCTATTCCTTGCCCGGACCTCTGTCATTAGCAGCTAAAGCGAACCCCTTTGTGTACCTCTTCTCATTGTTGTTGAGAAACCAAACGACACGAGCAATTTTATCAACAAAGATTGAGAACAATAAACCGCTCTGATTGATCGTTTGCACAAGTGAGCCGAGTAACGCATACTAAACCATAAATCTGTACTTCTTGCTTCAAGGCTGTTCTTCTTGGATTGGCTGGTTGGTGCAAATAATCACCAGTCCCAGTGGGGATCGAGAAAACATATGGAGAAAACCATTCGGCATATCGAAAACGACGAGACGAAGTGGCAACTAGAATCTTTAAAATCAGCACAGAAGCGTGTTTTCCAGAAGTGCATCAAATTGAGAGTGATAAGTCTTTTCCTTTAACGCAGAAAACACCTGCAACTCCAACAGTCAAACCACCAAATTGATTTTATCTTGATCCTGATTCGAAAGGCCTTTGCATTCCTTGCGAGTATTGCTCTGTCTTAATTTCCTCATTGCCAACGTTTGCAACTTCACGGGATCTTTGTTGTATTTTTTTTCAAGTTTTATTCCAATTCTTTTGGAATCTTTCTTTTCATTGCTCTCTTCAGCAACATTTTTTTCCTTCTATTGCTTTTCGTCATCTATTGATTTTTCTTCTTTTCATTTGCTCGGCCTATTTTTAATCTTCATCTCGATATCCTCTAGATTTCTGGTTTTGAATTCAACCACCTGCTTCAACCATTCTTCCCGTGATTGAGGTGGTTGTTTTCTTCTTCCTTTTTCTACCTGCTTGAGCCACTCGGATGTCCTCCATCGCCAAATCTCCAGTTAATCAAGGCCAGAACTCTTCTCATCGTTTAACAATCGTCGACGTGGATGAAGCGCGATCTCCTCTTCTGTTTCATGGAGTAAAACCAGAATTTCTGTCGGATGATTTGCTCTCAACGGGTGGAACAGCAACCCTTCTGGATGGAGCAACACCATTGAATGACTGGGAGGATTATCAAGTGACACCGACGCCCCCTTCTTCCCTTTTCCGACCTCCCATGACGGCAATCCAATACGTTGAGGATGCTTCACAAATCGATAAAATGTTCAAGTTTGATCAGGAGACTTTGGGACTTTTCGGAACTGCACGGCAAAAGCAAAAAAAACCGCAAAGAGAAAATGAAAATGCCGACAAACAAGGAAAGAAAAACTCGCATAGTCGTGCAGTGCTTCGTAGTGCAGTTGATTTGAGATGTTTGGAAAACAAGGTGGTGAAAATTATTGAAAAGAATAAGTTGCCCGCATCGAGTGGAGGAGATAGGTGGGCTTGCTGCGTAGTATTCACGTCACCTGCGTACTGGTTGGTTGCAGATTATGGCGGCGTCTGTGTCATAAATTATTAAGGGTGACAAACAGCCATAATGGACTGATGCATATTTCTGACGTTATGGAAACTGATACAGCGTAAGATTTCCATTTGGGTCACTTCTGCATGAAGGCCTGATTTTTAGATTCTACTTGGTTTCGGAACGCCTTGACGGCGGAGAGTTATTCGAGTTTTTATTAACAGAGCGCGCTGTGCCAGAAGAGTTGTGCAAATATCTAATTAGACAAATTCTCCATTCTTTGGATTTCTTGCACTCTCGCTCATTGCTTCATCGGTGAGTTTTCATTTGAAGACTCTGCTCTCATGAATTTATTGTTCAGAGATGTTAAGCCTGAAAATTTAATGTTTCGTCGGGCTCGTCCAACAGTAGCAGCAACTCCAAACGCACCATCAGGACGTCGAGGTTCCACTCCTGCGTCACTTGCATCCACAACGGACTCACTATTTGATGAGAGTGCGAAACATTCAGACAATCAGTCTAAAGCATCAATCAGAGCTCGTTTAATGACTTCATTAGAATGCAGTCAATCAATGTCATTAGAAGAATTACGAGTCCAATTTGAATTAGCAATCATCGATTTCGATACATGCAAAATGATTGATATTCCGTGAGTTTCTCATCTCTGGTTGAATAGCTCTCCATTTATTATTAGCTCTAAATAATCTTTGATCTCTTCGCAGTTCTTCTGAGTATCGGGAACTTTGCAACGGACGTCGGCGTTTAGTAGGAACTTACGGATATTTAGCACCAGAAGTTCTAAGAGGTCATGAATACACCGTCCAATCCGATCTCTGGAGTGTTGGAGTTATTCTCTACATTCTAATGACGGTGCGATAGACAGAGATGATGATGCCATTATCATCTTCATCTACAGGGCGTTCCTCCCGTTCCGATGGATTTGATGGTGAATGCAAGATCTGCATTAGAAGTTCTACAAGAAACGAAACGGAGAGGAGTGAGTCTTATCCATCAAAAAAGGGTACTGTATCTCTTATTTTGGGACAGATCGACTTTCGTCTTGCTCCCTTTCCTGATTTTCCCAAGGCTCAAGACTTGTGTAGATCCCTCCTCGAATTCGAGCCTCCGCTGCGAATGGCGACAGCTCAAAAATCTTTAAATCATCCGTGGTTGAATCCTGCTGCATCAAACGCGATCTCATTCCATCCGTTCCCCACCTCTGTCCCAAAAGAAGGCCTGGTTAATCAACATCAACAGCGTCAATTATCGAAAAGAATAGGGGAGGAAAATCATAGAAAGAAGAAGACAGATCGGGATGAAGAACTAATGATTGATTTTGAATCCACGCCGCCACGAATTCCAAGAAGATCGGAAAGTCCATCACTCTCTCCATCACCACCTCAGTATCGACGGCGCCAATACGACAGCAGGGCACACAAAGAACACCTCAATTCGAATGCCTCACGCCCAATTATCTAAAGATGAAGCTTTCTCAACAAGGAGAAGTGTTGGAATTTTGAATCTTCTCTTCTGGTTCGCAGCGAGATTGCAACCGCCCTTCCCCCATCAGACTCTAATCAAAAACTGAGTGTTTTGTGGTTGTGCAGTTAATTTTCTTTTACGTAGCGAACTGTTCGATTTTTAACGCAACAAATTAAACTGATTAAAATATTATTCATTGGATCAGTTTTCTGATTTCTCAGATTGATTAAAAAGCACATCAGCCATTGTGTACATCCCTGGCGGTTTATTTGCCAACCACCGCGCAGCCCTCAAGGCCCCAGACGCAAAAACGTCCCTATTTTGCGCCCGATGCGTCAGTTCGATTCTTTCGAATTCGCTGCCAAAGTGAACGGTATGATCTCCAACAACACTTCCCATACGCAGGGCGTGAACACCAATTTCGCGAGTTGAGCGTTTGCCTACAATCCCTTCTCGGCCTTGAACAAGGTCTTCACGGGAGCGCCCCAAAGCCTGGCATACTGAATCAGCTAGTGCCAGTGCTGTTCCACTTGGCGCGTCGACCTTTTTATTGTGATGCGCTTCAACAATCTCGATATTGAAATCCTCCCCCAAAGCTGCTGCGACAGTTGATGCAACTTGAACCAGAAGGTTGACGCCCAGTGAAAAGTTCATTGCATGAATAATGGGAATTTTTTGACTGGCTGTCCTAATAACTGCCTCTTGATCAGGATTCAATCCAGTTGTGCCGATCACCATCGGGATTCCAAGAGTCGCTGCCTGTCGAACGCACGTCACTGTTCCAGCGGGGGCTGAGAAGTCAACAATCACATCTGGCTTGACGGCCAATTTTCCCAAATCTGTAGGAGATACGACGACCAAGGAGCAACTTTTAGGGATTTGCGATTCCACTTCGTAGAGTGGCTTTCCAACAAGTTCATGACAGAGTGCGACCGACAAAGTGAGCTCTGGATGTTCTTCTGTCAAAACGCATAATCTTCTCCCAACGCGTCCAGTGCAACCAAAAATACCAATATTGATTGGATTCATCAACGACTTCTTGTATTGTTGTTGGCTATCAGCCAAACAACCATAAAAGGAGCCCATCTGCATGCAGTATGGCGTGTCTCGTGTCGCCTGAATCCAAATGATTTATCGCCCCTTACGCTGTCTTCATCGATATTACAAGTTTCTCTTCATCTGAACCCCGTCTTGTAGTCTCAACCGTGGCCACACAAAAAGTCCAAACTATTATTTCGGTTTCTCACCCTCCTCCTTCTTTTCTTCGTTCTTTTCTTCCTTCTTTTCCTCCCCTTTCTCTTCCTTTTTTTCTTCACCCTCTGCTTTCTTCTCCTCGTCCTTCACCTGGCCAGGCGTTTCACCACTAACATAGGAGCTCACTATAGGACCAAACCCTGAACACATAATAGGAACTCTATTCCACCACGGAGACACCCCCTCACCAGCTGCCAGCGTTAAATCGGCCTCTGCTTTTGCTCTTTTCTTCTCCTCCTGCGCATCATATCCAGTGTAGTCGTCAACTCCGGTCGCTGACAACAACCAATTCATCAGGGAACATTTTAACAGGCATACCAATGGAGGCGGCTTGATTTGCTATGCTCTCAATGATATTTGCTATTCAACAGAGGGAATTGGTTGCTTCCTTAAGAGTCATATCACTAACTCTCCTCCTTCACAAATTCCTTGGGGTCTTCAGCATTGTCCAGAGTGGAACCAGAATGATCCTTAACGTAGTCCTCCGCTGCAGCGAGCTTTTGGTAGTCTTTTGCGTCGGATATTCCTTACCTTCCTTTTCTCCTTCTTTCTCTTCTTCTAACCAAGAAAATGGAATTGAAACCCGCCGTTACTGCTCTCTATTCCGTTCACCTGATTCCAGCTCTGCCGTAGAAAATAGAGCCTTTCGTCATGGATTCGTGTAGGGCTACCTGGGTCATCGTTGTCGTCTCTTCGAGAGGCTAATTGAAGGTGCCGTTTCACTGAGCGGGAGAGAGCTCTTCTTTTCAATTGCCTGAATTCTGGGCTTATTTTAAGCACGGCCTCCAATTCCTGTGGAAGACGTCCGACAGATCAACTTGATAATTGCTGATGTTACTTGTAGCGCAGCATCGATTTCCCGTGCAGAGCGCAGATGCGATAAGCTGTCTACAGCAATAAATCAAGAAAGCCGTTATCCAAGCCGGCTTGCCTTTGGGGAGTTTCAACTCATCTCTGGCTTTCTCTATTCTTTTTCCCAAACGAGCGAATTCCTTCATTTGGAGTTCTGCTTGTTCTCTTGCTAGGACTTTGGGCGGGCCGGTGGATGTGGCCTCTCGAACTACGTCAAGAAAGACCAACACAAACAAAATCAGAAGAAGCTCGCGTGCGGAAGCCATATTTTTGTTGGTCTGGAGGACCCTTTGAATTCTGCAACCAACGTGTTTTTTCATCATTTTTGTTGGTATTGCTAATATTTGAAACAAGCCGCTCAGACAGAAAAAACAGTCGGATGAAACAAACTGCGAGCGGATACGAGTTCTTCACTCTCCATGAAAAACAATTGTAGCAACAGCCATCGAGCAACCTCACCGATACAAAATTATGTGGTTGTAGGTGTTGTCTCGATTCCCTCTGGCTTCAGGTCAAGGTTTGGTGGGTCTGGATTGCGTTGAACTACAATAGCAATTTTTGGTACTCTACGGCGTCCTCTGGTTGAGGACGTGAAGAAAGAGGTCTCAACCTGCCACATCAAGGAATGAGAAATCTTGACGATCACCTGGAGACCTACAGAAATAATTGTTCCTTGTTGTTCTTTCTCTATGCGCGCGGCAACAGCGACTGCTGTGCGAATGGCGAGGCCCAGTCCAGCTATTGTGATCTAAATTAACAAGTGAAGAGTAGGGTGCTCCTAGCTTCTTACCGTCTCAAACGATGGGTGCTCCGGAGTAGAATTGTGAAGCATACGGCGACCAATGCGTGCAAAAAAGGCAGGGGAACGCGCCAAACTGATCTGAAATTAAATAAATTTGTAACTGAATGGAAGATTTGAGGAAGCTTCAAGCTCATATTCGTCCAACCTGAATGTGATTGCGTGGTCGATCTCCTCTGAAACTCCGGCGCTCTTGTTGTTTTTGTTCCTCTGTCTCTCTCTTCGGTTGACTTTGGTCCTTTATCACTGTTTGACTTCGCTCCATCTTCGGTTGACTTCGCTCCATCTTCGGTTGACTTCGCTCCATCTTCGGTTGACTTCGCTCCATCTTCGGTTGACTTCGCTCCATCTTCGGTTGACTTCGCTCCATCTTCGGTTGACTTTGGTCTTCGACTGGTTGACTTTGGTCTACCTTTTTCGACTGCTCAGCCACCGAAGCAGGTGTCATCGTTTGCACTTCAACAGAAGCCATCAGGAAGGTTAACGCTGGGGTTTTCCGTTTTGAGATTATTGGAGTGAGTTTGCTCTATCTGTCGCTGTCCCGTGAAAGTTTACCACACCTGCATGCCTTTGAAAAACAATACACCTTTCAGTCCTGTGGATATTCACCAAGATCACCGTAGACATAATTGATTATCTATAATTGACAAATCATTGATTATTAGCAATATCTACAATCGACAGATGATTGATTATGTTGTATTCTCCCTCATCTGTTTTCGTCCTTCTTTGGACATTCAAGGAGACTCGTTTCGTCCCACTTTTGCGTCTCTGGTGGCAGATTGAGTTCTCTATTATTCAATTGTAATGAACTCTTCTGATTCAGTTTATATTTTGTGTAAATGTCCCAAATTGTTGGGACATTACTAGTGAAGTCTCGTTCTCCTTTCTTCACCCCATGGACCTTCTGGCGGTCTTTTTGGAAATTCCTTTCTCTGCTCTATGCTTGGGTCATACGCTCCTCCCCTGCCTTTCACGGTGTACCGTTTCTCGACCTTTTCGACACCAAATTCCTTGAAAGGATCCCGATCGTCTGGAATTCCAGCAACTCGAGATTTCTGAAGAACGAATACGTGCGTCTCGCTGCCTGCACAGTCCACTGACCACTGCTTGGTTCAATTTCGCATAAATTTCCGCCGGGAATTTCAGCTGTGAAGAAATTATAAGAACTTCAGATTTATGAGAGCCTCTTCTACCTCTAATTCATCCTTCAGCATCCCAACTGTTTTGGGGTCTTGGAACTGATAAAAGACAGAAGAGTCGCAGCAAGACTATGAATGATCATCTTACCTTGATGACGTCACGAATTATGTCTTCTACTTCCTAAAGAAACAACATTGTCAACGAACTCGCCCACCAATTCAAACTAACTTTTTCTTTTGTACCCGCCTGAAACACACCCACAAATGAATACCATACGGATGCTCATACTTACCGCTATTGTTTCTGTGTAAGGGATATTGGCCTGAGAAGCACAATGCTCAGCGCAATTCGCTTAATTTGCATACTTTGTCAAACTCGCAATTAATTTCATTTGAGCCAGATTCGCGGGAGGCGGAACGCACGGTATGTATCCAACCCTCTGCATCTAGAGCATTGTCCCAGGGAATCGCTAAAAAGCATAAATTATGAGCCGCTCGAACACCCAATTGGCTGTCTGTTCCAGAAGTAACGCCCAACATGTTCCAAGTTGTTGAAAGGCGTTCTAGTGACGTCTGCTTCTCCGCCGTATTGATTTTGACATCTCCTCCCCTGAACACGTCACCCTTCAATGAGTCCTTCTACAAAAAAATAATAAATGTCCCTCATGTCCCAAAATTTTAATTCTTACGATTGTTTTCACTTCTTTTAATATTGCTTTGATTTCATCCTGTTTTGTCTTTTCTTTTTCAAGCAATGGAATCAGAGCTCTTCCTTGGATGTGGGCGTGCCGTATTTCAGAAATCATGAGCTTTATTCGGCTAGCGCGCCTTTCTTTTCTATCAAGCACTTTCAATCGATCCCGTAACAAAACGAGGTACGGATAGCTCAGCTGTTTCTGCAATATAAATTCAAACAAAAAGTCGAGAATGTAATATATTTCTCTTTATTCGTACCTCCTCAACCTTCCCGGGAACGTTTTCAGCTGCTTCTGCCCCCTTCGGGTGTTCAATGACCCGATGTTTCAACAGCCCGCCTTGCTGAAATTGGTCAGGGAACCGCATTCTGATTCTCATGTTTGTTTTTGTTTTATCGCTGTTCCCTTCAAGCACTAGCGACAACAGCCGATCTGGATGATCCAGAAAATCTGATTCGCTTCCCTTATCTGGCCAGTTGCTAACATCTATTTTGACCGCCTCAGATTGAAAAATGCGAGACGCATCTTCGCAAAATCGGCCATTTGGACGGAGAAGCGATGAATAAGTCTCCACCTCTCCGTCTTTTCCAATTTTTGCCGCCTGCTTGTCCCATAGCAACTCGCAATCAAGTCTTAAGGTTGCAACTGGCTCTCGTCCTTTGGGACAAGTTCCTTTCACCTCCAAATAATACCGTCCCTCCGTGCTGGTTGATGGAAGAACCACAACTTCAATATTTAACGGCACGATGCGCACTGGGACCTTCTTTTCTCGTTCGTCTATTTTGAGAAGCTCAAAAGGGTCGCTGGCACATGCAAACTGATTGTCAGACGACCGAATGAGTGAGTCAGTGAAAAGTTCTGATCTAAATCCTGCTTGGCCCGCCGCATTGAGACACCCAAACGCTGAGTTCCAACTTTTTTCTGGTTCAATCAGTTGGACTGCTGATGATGACGTGTCCAGAATGACGGCTGCGATTGCTGTTGCTGCTGTTGGTGTATCAAGGCCTGCGACTCGATGGATGCTGTCAACCAATTCAACTGAATCTAAGCCAACGACTGGAACAGGCAAATGGACGTTGGGTTGACATGTGAACAGTGGGAGAGAACAATAAAGGAGAAAAAGAAGTTCGATGAAATGGGGAGTCATGTGAGGGGTTGAATAGAGAAAGCGAAAATTTTCATTGGGACAAAGTGGCGGCGCATGCGATTAACAATTTGGGTAATCAGGGGAAGAATTTCTGAACCTTGCGGTACTTCACGCATTAGGGTTGTTGTTTGCACATCAACATCATTAGCAGTGAAATGTTAAAAATCTCGGGTGCTCAGCAAGTGTATTTGATGTAA